TTGATGCCCCCGCCCAACCTACAATCACCACTGCCCTAAGGAGGGAGGAGATAAATTCCCTTTCCCCCTTCTAGCTACCAGAAGACCCAGTTACCCACCTCCCTCCCTGGTTCTGTCAATACAGTACCCGGTTTCACCGAGCATTTGGCGGGGCTGCGGGGGCTCCCTGACTTCGATTTGACAGTAAGCCAGGGACAGTGTGTAGTGATGGATTTGGCGCTGCAGCAGAGTGGAGGAGCTACGGTGCATGGAGGATTTGTACCAACCCCCCTTATTGAAAATGCTGCAGCCGGAAGAGGGTTAACACAACCTACAGCCACGGAACGGCTTGCGATGCATTCTGCCTTAGACTGACCGCTGCTTGCCCTCAGGCCAGGGGCCAGCTTGCATGGACTAGAGCAGGTGGGGATGCCATCACCATTAACCCTTTAGTTAGCAGAGGAGCCAAGAGATCAACAGACCTTTGGAGGGCACCGTACAGCTCTATTTCACCGCCCGCTGCTGGCACCCATGGCTTCCTACGCCGCATGCCAGCTGGGGCTCTCCTGGGACTGCCGGTGCAGCTGCTAACAGGCAGCTGGAGCTTACGGTCTCTCCCAGGCCCCTGCTGCTACGTATTTCCTACCCACCCACCAGTGAAAAGAGTCAAGAATACAGGGAATTCCCCCATCACCCAGGCACTCAGAGGGAGCAGGGGTTGCTGGAACCTGGGGACTTGCACCTCCCTGCTAAAGGGGGAGGGAAGCTGCAGGCTGCATTAAGGCTCCATGAGCCACCCCCCCCCCACGGAGAGCATCCTATAAACCAGCACCTGCTCACACCGTCCCCCACCAGACCAGACACACCGGCACATGAGACGCTGGGTGGATCGGATCGGCACCAGGTTTCCCCGACAGCCGCGTGATCATTGCAGCGTGAGACGGCGAGCCTGGTGCCAAGGCTGCCTTCTGAGAATGGGCACCATCTCTAAACAAAGGAGAGCAGAAGAAGCCAGGACTCTGGGCCAGCAGCTCCCACGTCCTGCTGTTGTTATTATTTATTAGGGACCCACCGTCCGGAGAGAGCACACAATGCGTATGGAATGGCTACGAGTGTGAAGTCCCCACAGCCGAGGCAGGGCTGGGCCAAGGCAGGTCAGGGGACTGCCAGGAACACAAGGGGACCCTGCCTCACCTGTGGGGAAGCCATGTCCCGTGGGGAAGGACTGGGGCTAGAGGATATCACTGGTGACCTGGAGCTGGGAATCCCTCAGGCAGGAAGAGAGGCACCTAGGAAGGGAAGAATGGGATCTACATCCGCTGGACAACCTGGGAAACTTCCTTCCATCACGGGACGGAGATTCCACGTGGCTCAGACAGGCCAGGCGCCCCGGAACACCCCGCCCGGCTGGGCCCCTATCTCTCGCCCAGCTCGCGAGCCCGCATGGTCGCAGCCTCCACGGCGTTCATGACGGTGGCCCGCAGCGCCCCCTTCTCCAGCTCGTGCAGGGCGTGGATGGTGGTGCCGCCAGGCGTGCAGACGTTGCTGCGCAGCTTGGCCGGGTGCTCCCCTGTCTCCAGGATCATCTTTGCTGCTCCCTGCAAGAGGAGGCGGGTTCAGAGGAGAGCGGGATGGGTGGGGGGCTGTGACTTAGCATCCTATAACTGTCCCTGCTCTCTGATTTGGGGAGCTGGGGGAGGGAGACCATGCTCCATCCAAACTGCTCCCTTCCCAGGAAGAGACACAAGCTCACTCTGTGGCCTTTGGGAACAGAACCTAGGTCTCCCAACCTGGGTGCCTTGCTCTGATTGCTAGACAGCGCTGCCTCCCATTGTCATACATGGTGTGAATGCCATTAACACAAGAGTTACGGGGAACCAGGTCAAACTCTCGTCAGAGTAATGCAGCTAATGTACCCCATTGTAAATTCATGACCTGCTTCCTCCAAGTGCCTTACAATGATAGACTCACGGAGCTTGGTCTATTTAGCTTAATGAAGAGCAAGTTAAGGGGTGACTTGATCACAGTCTATAGGTACCTACATGGGGAACAAATATTTGATAATGGGCTCGTCAGTCCATCAGAGGAAAGTCTAACACCATCCAATGGCTGGAAGTTAAAGCTAGACAAATTCAGACTAGAAATAAGTCAGAATTTTTTAACTGTGAAGGTAATTGGCCATTGGATCAATTTACCCCAAGGGTCTTGGTGAATTCTCCATCACTGGCAATTTTAAAATCCAGATGGGCTGTTTCTCTAACAGCTCTGCTCTAGGAATGATTTGGGGGCAGGTCTCTGGCCTGTCTAAAACACAAGGTCGGGCTAGATAATCACAATGGTCCCTTCTGGCCTTAGAATCTATGATGGATGCAAGAAATTGGCCAGTTGGTAATCCTCAGATTAAGGGGCAGCTGGCTCCAGGTGCCCTCTTCCCCAGTCTGTGCACGGGGATCCTACCTCTAGCCTGCATCCTGCTCCCCCTCTGTTCACATGGTTCTGGTTTCGCTAACTGGAAGGACTTTGGGGCAGTTAGTGACTCTTCCTAGGTTTGTCTGGTGCAGCTGCAACCACCTCCTCCCTCTGGTGGCCATGCTAGGACAGCCAAAGAGGCTTTGCTTCTTCCCGTTCAGCCCCATCACGTCCTGGATGAGTCCCCAGGAATCTTTTGCACTGACTGCAAGGATTCTTAAGCAGCAAGGCCCCTACGGGTCCCAGAGGAGCCCTTACACCCTTGGCTGGTCACAGCTCAGCTCAAACGGCAGAGTCCGTCAGAGAAGCTAAGGGGATAGGAACCAAGGTGTGGTAAGATAGCAACAGCTAAGGAATTACTGGAAAGGCAGATGGAACCACAAGGCTCAGAGGCGATACAGGAGTTTTCCTTAAGACTGAGAGCTTGTCCTGGGCACTTGCTGTCCGGGCAGTAGCAGCGGGTGCTGCTGGCTGCATAGGGGAACCCAGGACTGGAATAGACGTCGGAACTGCAGGTCAGAAGAAAGGTGCATTGGCGCTGATGGAGGGGACAGGACTGGGTTAAGCAGGGGAATCTGAAGACTGACAGCGAAGTCCAAACTTACCAGCAGTGTCTGGGCTGCAATTTTATTGGCCAAGGCACTGGGCATGCCCATCTTCACAGCACCGTCTGCCAGGGCTTCGGCAAACAAGTAAACCTGGAGCAGGGAAAGGCGGACGTTCAGGGAACAGCTAGATCTGACTCCGGTTGCTTCTGGAGGACAGGACATGGAGGCCTCCTAGGACAGGAGCCAGCCTGGCAGTGCTGAACCAGCAGAGCCTTCCAAAAGCTGCTGGCCACCATCCTGATCCTGGCAGAAATCAGACGCCCATGAAGCTATAAGCAAGTTACAGGCAAGGGACTGAGGTCTCCAGCTGGACTCCGTCAGACCCCTGATTCCCAAGCCTCTATGGGCAACGGCTCCAGTTACTAGACTAAGAGCTCAGCTGGGCCCCCCGTGTGCTGTCTAACCTACCAGGGGCGCAGGCTGCCCCACTCTAAGATCACATGGTTTAGAGGCAGCCGAGGGTCTAGCACGGGCATGAGCACACACAGCTCAGCAGGCACCAGGGATTTGTCCTTCAGGGAGCGAGGGGAGCCCCGGGTGCCCATCGGAGAAGCCTCAGGTGTCAGGACTGATAACCCAGAGCACTGCTTGGGAGTCGCTGTATGGAGCTGCAGACAGGCCAGGGTGGAGGGAACAACCCTGCCCTGGCAGGGCTGGCAGATGATTAACCGCGAAATCCCTGGGGCTGGAGGGCCCAGCGCAAGGGCACTTACGTAGGCTACCCCGCTGCCACTCAGGCCTGTGTGGATATCGAGGTAGGACTCCGGCGTTTCTTCACACAGCCCGCAGGCGGACAGCAGGCTTCTCAGCAGGGCGGCCTCCTGCTCCCCAGCACAGCTCCCCCGGGCAACCACCACTGCCCCCTCCTGCACCACGCAGGGCAGGTTGGGCATGACCCGCAGCACCTTGGTCCCAGCAGGGAGAAGCTGCAGGGAGAGACGGCCGTGATACTACACCAGGAGAACACTGCTGCTGGTGGGGACAGGGGCTGGGAGACAGCCCAGCGGTCTCAACGGAGGGCGTAGTATGTGCCTTTGGTCACGGAGGACATGGCAGGCTTAACCAAGCCCTTGCAGTGTGTCCACATGGCAAACCCACCAGGCAGCTCAGGAATTCAGCATGATTGCCAGGGGAAGCCAGGGCTGAGAAGGCCAAGGGGCTGAAGGTCAGGATTGCGGGGCATCGGCAAAGCTGTGTGTGTGTGTGTGGGAGGGTGTCCAGGACTGGGATAACAGGGGGGCTGCAGGTCAAGATAGAGGGGCACAGGGCATAATACTCAATCTGTGGCAATCATTTTACATAGTACAGGGAGGAGCAGAGGTGGGTGGGGAAAAAACATTGACAGCAACTGAGGAAGGAGGGTTTGCGGAGCCTAGCCAGGGTGGTGTGTGTGTCAGCTCAGCGCCCCCTGCTGGATTCAGTCTGTACAGAAAGGCAACAATCCAGAAGCAGGACTAAACAGAGAGCAGCTGATTGATGACAAGAAACACAAACCCACCGGGGATTACGCTTGCTGGCTAGCACAGCCCACCAAGCAGGCCCATGTATGCCTGTGCTAAGCTCCAGGGCTTTCGCGCCTCTGCTGAGACTAGCACAAACTGACCTGCTTGCTGGCAACCAGTACCTGGCGACCTGGCAGGGGTGGATTAAGGCATAGGCATGACAGACCCATGCCCTGGGCCCCAGCTCCTGGAATCATGGGATTACAGCACATTTTCAGCTTTCACTTAAAAAAAAATAAAAGTCTCTAGCTCTCTTGACTGCAAAGGGAAGCTTGAAAACATGACCTGGGCATAACAGGTACAGGGACGGCTGCCTGAGTCTGCAGAGAACCTGGGACAATAGCTCTGAGAGGTGTGAACTGCCTTATACACCTCAATGGGCTGGATTACACCTGGAAGTAGCAAGCATCCCCCTTCCCAGAACAATACTCCATGCGTGGCAGAAGGGGAAGAGTACAGCAGGCCTGGCGTTCCACCCCAGCAGGCCAGGTGTAAGTACTGATACACCCCTTGCTACCCCCTGCCTCTCTGGGATGGAGAGGGTAGCTATTCTTAAGGGATGGATGCCTCCTGCAACTCCCTCCCCTGCCCCCACACCCATTCCATGTAGGGGGGCATATCTATGGCACATGGGGGGGGAGCCTTGATCTGGCCCTGGCTGTATACTCACTGGAGAGCTGTGTGGATTTGGAGCGCTCTTCACCTACAGGCATTCTTCCTCTTCTCCAGGCCATTGTATAAAAGCAAATATAACCCCTTCACGTGTGTGTGCATGCCCCGGACACTCACAGGTTAATGGGGGGTGGGAGGGACAAGAGGGACCATCAGATGCTCACCTGTTGCAGGGTCTGCAAAGTGACCCCAGCAGCCACCGATACGATAATGTGGTCCCGGGTAACGGCAGGAGCAATCTCCTGCAGGACTCCAGGAAGCAGGTGAGGCTTGGTGGCTAGGAAGACCAGGGTACAGCGCTGCAGCACCTCGCTGTTGCAGTGCGTCGTCCTGCAGCCCAAATCCTGCCGCCCAAGGAGATGGGACACGGTTACAGGCTTGGAGAGGAAAGGCCGGCAGAGCGGGACAGGCTGGAATTCACCAGTACAACAGCAGCACTCAGCCCTCGCCTGCTCTTAACACGCTTTGTGACATTAAAACTCAGCCCTGTGAGGTGTGGAAGGGCCATTTGAGGATCATTTCATCCGGTACTGGCATGCACTTTAAACTGCAAGGCTGGGGTACTGGGCTGAGCATTGACCCAAAGGGAAGGGCTCCCCCAGCTAATTCACCAGCACCATTTCCCAGGGCACCCCGGGTGTTCCTCACAGGAATTTAGTAGCTGGCAGGATCTGATGGGATCACAACAAAGTGGCATCAAGCGCCGCTACTGTGTTTGCCTCCTGTTTCCAGACATCAAGACACTATTAGCTCTTCCAGTCCCGTGGAAGAGAGACTCAACCTTTCCCACGCAGCCTGTCCTCGCTCACCTGGAAGGCGCCCAAGTTCCTGTCGGACGGCGCACTGGCCAAGATGTTAGCAGCTTTGACTTTTCCTTAAAACACAGAGCAAAGAAGGAATCAGCTGCGTTAAGATGCATCCAGACAATCCTGCATTGCCTCCAGCACAGACGAGAGACCAAGACAAACACAGATGAACCTTGGAACCATCACCCAAACCGGGCTGGGGCAAGACCCCAGCCCAAGGGTTCCCCCCTCACCAGCAAGTGTGAGATTCCCAAGGGCTGTGAAACGCTACTAGGCAGGAGAAGAGGCTAATCACTGCTGGAGGAGCTGGCCAAGCGTGGGCAAACAGGGGCCGTGTGCTCTGTGGGCAGCGATGCCAGGTGATTGCAGGGAACTTACTTTTACCATATGAGGGCAATCGTGTCAGCAGACCTGGAACGGCTGCAAGCATCATGGGAACAACCAGGCAGCTCTATGCGGCCTTCACTCCCTAGGGATCGGATCCCAGCGCCATTGATAACTGGACCTGAGCAGAGACGCCCCTCGCAGGGGTGCGGATGCTGGGCATTGCAACTACTTATCCCAGAATCCTTTGCACAGCAAGGACATGCAGACGCTTCTGGGATGATGGGTGCAGCCGGGGCCTATGGAGGGACGTAGCCGCGGCTGGCATGGGGCTCTGGAACTCCAGCGCTGGGCACGGCCCGGGGCTCCATCACTGAGCACCAACATGCAGCTGCCCCCCGGGTGGTTATACAGGGACCCATTGCCCAGCGCTGAAATGCAGCCACCTCTGGGGCGAGGCACGGGGTTATACAGGGACACCTCATGGGGTGGGGGAGCAGGGCCGCCCGGAGAGGCGGGCAAGTGGGGCAATTTGCCCGGGCCCCGCATTGCAACCTTTTTTTTAATGGAGGGGGGCCCCGAAATTGCTTTGCCCCAGGCCCCCGAGGGACGCCCTCTGCAGTGGGGCGGGGGCTGATTACACATGGAGTGGCAGGGGGTGCGCTCTAGCAGTGGGGGGGGGCTGGTTACCCCGTGACCCC